GTCTAGTTGTATAAAATATTGAGAGGTGTTGTAGTCTACAACTTTAATTGTGGATTTTTTGGTTTATCCTTCCACTTTCATTAATTTTGCTTCAAGTGTTTTGAATCTGTGTGTTTTGGTGTACATACATTTAAGATTGCTATGTCGTCTCGGTGGACTGACCTTTCCATCATTAGTTAATGTCCCTCTCTGTCTCTGATAATTGTCTTGGCTCTGAATCCTGCTTCATTTCATGTGTTATTAGCATTTCTTCTCCACTGTATTTGTATAAATGTTTACATGATCTATTTTTCCTATACTTTCATCCTATTTGTATCTTTCATCCTACCTATATCTTTATGTTTGGAGTGAATTTCTTATAGATAGCATTTGGATAGATCTTGTTTTATAATCCACTCTGCCAATCAGTCTTTTAATTGCTTTATTTAAACCATTTACAACTTCTGGCCAAGATGGAGGCATAGGTAGACACACTGTGCCTCCTCGTACAACCAAAATAAGGACAACGACAATTTAGAAACAAAATAACAACCAGAACTGACAGAAAATCGAACTGTATGGGAGTCTGACAACCAAGGAGTTAAAATAGACACATTCATCCAGACAAGTAGGAGGGGTGGAGTCCCAGGACAGGCGGAGGGGGGTCATCGCAAAAAAAGCAGTGGCTTTTGGACCTCAGCGTGCAAGGCAGCAGCTGACTGACCCCTTGTGCGCAATACCCCCAGGTGCGCAATATGGCAGCAGGCGGACCCTGGGCATGTAGGCAGTGGCTGGCAGACCCCAGGAGTGGGGTGGCAGTGGGCAGACCCGGGGAGGCAGTGATTGTGGAACAGGGCGCAGCGTGCTGACCAGGCAGGCAGTCCCACATTCGCATGTAAATAAACCAGGCAAAACTGGGGAGCAAGACAGACCATGCAACCCAGGGCTCCAGCAAAGGGAAATAAAGCCTCAAAACAACAATTGAAAACACTTGGGGGGTTTGAGGTGCTTGGAGAGACTCCCAGCCTCACAGGAGAGTTCGTTAGAGAGACCCACAGGGTCCTAGAACATACACAAGCCCATCCACCTGGGAATCAGCACCAGAAGGGCGCATTTGCTTGGGGGAAGCAATGGAAGGGACTGAAATCTGACAAGAGAGTGGAGAAAGCACCATTGTTCCCTCTCTGACTCCTCCCCCCACATACAGCATCAAAACACAGCAACTGGGTTGCCCTGCCCTGGTGAACACCTAAGGCTCCACCCCTCATATATAACAGGCACATCAAGACAAAAAAATGGCTCAAAGGGAAAAACAGATCAAAGCTCCAGAGCAAATACAACTAAGTGACCAGGAGATAGCCAGCCTATCAGATGCACGGTTCAAAGCACTGGTGATCAGGATGCTCACAGAATTGGTTGAATTTGGTTGCAAATTAGATGAAAAAATGAAGGCTACACTAAGTAAAAGGAAGGAAAATGTACAGGGAACCAATAGTAATGGGAAGAAAACTGGGACTCACATCAATGGAGTGGACCAGAAGGAAGAAAGAAACAACTGAGCAGAAAAGAATGAAGAAAAAAGAATTCAAAAAAAATGAGGAAAAGCTTAGGAACCTCCAGGACATCTTTAAATGTTCCAACATCCGAATTATAGGGGTACCAGAAGGGGAAGAGGAAGAGCAACAAATGGAAAACTTATTTGAACAAATAATGAAGAACTTCCCCAATCTGGCCAAGGAAATAGACTTCCAGGAAGTCCAGGAAGCTCAGAGAATCCCAAAGAGGTTGGATCCAAGGAGAAACACACCAAGGCACATCATAATTACACTAGCCAAGATAAAAATGAGGGAGAGAATTCTAGAAGCAGCAAGAGAAAAGGAGACAGTTACCTACAAAGGAGTTCCCATCAGACTGTCAGCTGATTTCTCAAAAGAGACCTTGCAGGCAAGAAGGGGCTGGAAAGAAGTATGAAAGGCAAGGACCCACATCCCAGATTGCTCTATCCAGCAAAGCTATCATTTAGAATGGAAGGGCAGATAAAGTGCTTCTCAGATAAGGTCAAGTTAAAGGAGTTCATCATCACCAACCCCTTATTATATGAAATGTTAAAGGGACTTATCTAAGAAAAAGAAGATTAAAAACATGTACAGTAAAATGACAGCAAACTCACAATTATTAACAACCACACCAAAAACAAAAACAAAGTAAGCAAACAATTAGAACAGGAACAGAATCACAGAAATGGAGATCACATGGAGGGTTAGCAACAGAGGAGTGGGAGGAGGATAGAGGGAGAAAAGGTACAGGGAGTAAGTAGCATAGATGGTAGGTAGAAAATAGACAGGGGGAGGGCAAGAATAGTATGGGAAATATAGAAGTTTTAAAGAACTTATGACACATGAACATGAACAAAAGGGGGGATTGTGGGTGGGAGAGGGTATACAGGGTAGACGCGAATGAAGGGAAAATGGGACAACTATAATAGCATAATCAATATATAATTTTAAAAAATTAATAAGTAAATATGTATTGAGCACCTACAAAAAATAAATAAACCATTTACACTTAATACAATTATTGATATGTTAGAACTAAATTACCTTTTTATTTTTTATTTTCTTTGTGTTCTGTTTCTCTGTTTTCTTTTTGCTAGCTTCATATGGTTTACTTGAACATTTTTTAGAACTTCATTTTGACACACCTATGTTTTTGTATGTGTCTCTTTTTATAGCTATTTTATTGGTTTCTTTAGGCATTACATTTTACATGTAGAACCTATCGCAATCTACTAGGTCAACATTTTGCCAGTTTGTGTAGAAATCTTCTCATGTCCCCTTATTGTCCTAATTTATAATATCATTGTCTTAAATATTTCCTGTGAATACATTTAGAACCATATCAGTGTTACAGTTTTGCTTCAAACCAAAAAAATTTTTGAAAAGTCAACAGAAATATAAAAGCCTATCGTACTCACCTACATTTTCCACTTATATTTCTTTCCACAGATCTTGAGGTTCTGTTCATGGTTTTTTCAGTCTGTGTTTTCTTTGTTCATACTGGCTAATGCCCATTATTTTATCTTCAAGATACTGATTCTTTTCTCTGTCCCTCCATTCTACTATTGAACCCATCCACTGAGGTTTTTTATTTTTGTTACTGTATTTCTTAGTTCTGAAATTTCCATTAAAAATATTTCTTTGCCCAAGGTATATATTTGTTTGCTGGGACCCTCTAGTTTTCTGTCTTGTTTACATTTGTAATTGTTCATTGAAGCATGTTTATAATAGCTGCTATAGAATCTTTGTCAGATAAATCTAACATCTGTCATCTCAGCATTGTGATTTATTAATTGTTTTTTTTTATTCAAGTTGAGACTTTTTTCCTGGTTCTCAGTATAACAAATGATTTTTTTTTTTATGGCAACAAGTACATTTTGGGTATTATGACATGAGACTTTGGATCTTATTTAAGCCTATGTACGTGACTTTATCTGACACTGCTCTGAGAGGAGAGTTGGCAGTGGAGCTTGTTACTGCCACATGGAGGTAGAAGTTCAGACTTCCTACCTGACCTCCACTGATACCTAAGGGGGAGGGAACTTTTTGTTACTCCTGGGTGAGTGTGAGTTCCAGCTTCCTGCTAGATTTTGACTGACATCACTCTGGCTTGGAGAGTGCTTTGTTGCTGCTCTCCACTCGGCTTCCACTGACACTGGAGGAAGGTTGGAGAGTCAAGGTGGCCTAGTAATGCTGAGCAGTGGTGAAAGTCCTGACATTCTGCTACACCTGTTCTCACTCTGTGCCAGAGGATTACTAATGTCGGGTGGGGGTGGAAGTGCAGGCCCCCCAGGTGGTCTCCACTGTCATGGTGTGTATATGGGGACACTCACTACAAGCTCAGAGATGAAAGCCCCAAACACCCTATTCTACCTGTTTTTCACCACCCCAGCTGGACTGTAGAGACTCCTCATGACCTGATGTTAGTGGAAGTCATTCACTCTTTGCTGTTGTATGTGAAGGTGGGTAACAGTTTTTCTGCAATATTAACCTAGGATAGAACAGGTATTTTCTAAGTTTTCTGTCTCACTAGGCTGCCCCTTCCCTAGTCCTGTGGTTGAAGAGAATAAGCTTTTGTAGGGGCTTTTTATTTTGGTCTATACCCATTACTGTTTCCAGGTTTTCAGGTTCTTCAGTTCCAAATCTGGATATAAGAGGCAAAGAGAAAACCCAGGCATTCACTACTTTTGTTCCTTAAGTCGCAAGGACCTTAGGTCCTAGCTGTTCTGCCACCTTCTCTCCACCTTACAGTGTGTCTTCTTATATTTAGTTTATATATAATGCTGGGCACTTTAGTTGTACTTAATGAGAGAAATAGGAGAAAGTATATCTAGTCCATCTCAGAAATGGAAGTTAGAATATTTTTTCTTAATGTTAAGCAGCACTACTTGTTTTGAGGCATGAGTGTTAGTCTTCTCAAATCAAATGCCTCAGAGGGACCAGGAAAATATGTCTGATATTCCCAGACTACTTTTCTACTTAAATATGAGGCATTTCAGTGCCTGTGGTCTATCTGTAAACATTCCTTATGCATTTGATATCAAATTATTTGAAAGATTAGAGCTGTCAGAATGTATGGTGGTTTTACTTGTAAATAACGTTTATTTTAATGGGTAATTCTTTGAACCTGTTGATGGTCTTTGCTCACTCCCTGCATTTCTCCCTGAGGCACCCTAAGACATCATCTACCAGAGTAGGAGGACCTGAGGGAGCTCAAGCCCAGACACTTAGATGGCCTTCTTTTATTAGCCCCTCTCTTGACACAGAAGTTTCAATGGAAAAGTAAAAATGGATCCATTGACAGTCACTATTGACCATGTGAGAGCATCTGTCATTCACTGGGCTGGCTTGATTTTACCTGCCCACAGCAGACAAGTCATTGCTCTTTGTTTTCCTGATTTAGCAAGAACATGAGGGGAATCCAGCTTCACAAATAAACTCTTGTATTTTTTTATCCCCTTCCAGGCAAAAGCTTATTATCCCCAGTGGAAGTTGCCCTGTTATTTTGAATACTTACTTTTGTCAGAAAATTGTTGCCAAAGAAGATTTGAAAACAACACATGAAGTGCATGGTTGGAACACACCCCTTCCAAGAAGAAACATCACTTTGGCCCAGATGTTTAGATTTAATCATCTAACAAATAATTCACCTGAAAGCCAGGTAAACTTTCATTGGCTTAGACATTTTATTCTTTGTAATAATGTTGAATTCGAATGGGTTATAAATGAAGATGGTTACCTTTGGTCTTCCTTCAAGTATTCAGCAAATATATAGGCAAGAGTATTTGTTATTATGTCTAAAGAAATTATGGTTCAGTTCAGTATTATGGTATTTTTATAGTATTTCATCTTTTTAATGATGTATTTTAATCTTTATTCTAACCCATTAAAATATGAGTGTTCATTTTCCTGTTCTTGTAATTGTCTAAGAATCTTGTTCAAGCCACCTTTTATTATTAAAAAGATTACATTTTTTCTTTTTCACAATATCTATCCCTTGGAATAAAAAGAGCTGCATAAACTTGAGATTATAAACTCGAGATGTATTTTTGGAATTTTACTGGCCCTGACTCATGACCATCTGCCAAGATGGACTTAGAGAACCACTAAATTTCACTTGGAATGGGCACAAAGTGCACTCTTGGGACCCCTCTGAGGTCTGTGGCTCCCAGTGCACCTGCCTTAGGTCACCAAGTTACCTGAATCAGCACTGAACGGAATGCTAAGACTAACTGTCAGCATGAGGGAACATAAGAAAGACAGGAAAGCAAACAAACTTTCATCCTGTTTTGTATATGTGTAATCAAGCAGAATCTTCCTTTAATTATTAAAAGAGTGTCTGGAGGGAATTATGTGAAAAGGAGGGCTTTCTAACCAGTTTAATTGTACCTGATTTAAAATATGGCTCAAAATATATTATTGCTTCAAATTCATGAGATATGTTTTCACCAGCAGCGATGATGAAGCCACGGGGTAGCATAGTGGTTAAGAATATGGACTTTGAAACCAGGTGTTCTAGTTCAGTCCTGCCTCAGCCACTTGCTTCTAGGTGACTTTGGGCAAGATATTTAATTTTTCTGTGTCTCAATATTATTATCTTTAAAGTGGTGATAATGATATAATCTACCTCCTTGGTTTGTTGTAAAGTTAAATATATTTGTTAAGTAAGGCCAATATATAAAGAAAAGTTCCTGAAATAGAGAAATCACTCTAGAGGTGATGTTTTCTTATTATGATATTTAACATTATTATAAATGATTGTCACGATGCTACGTGAACATGCACATAACAAGTACTTAATGATACTAAATGCTGGTCATTCTTTTATATTGTTTTTAAGTTTGTCCTGTTGGGATTGTTACCTCATATGAGAAAAGTTTTCTAAATTACCATGAGGTAGTTTAGTAACAGGACTTTCTACATGTTTTCAAAGCCCCAGTATGGTCTTTTTTTCCATTGATAAGAAACTCTTTGTCATTTCCATGTTACTCTGGCTCTCCTTGCTCTCCTTGGCAGTACTATTTACCTGGCAGACATGGAGGTCCTTGTTTTTTTATATTTATAGATTTGTGTTTTATATTTATTTTTCATTTAGTGCTCTGCATGTACATCAGAGGATTATCTAAGAATATCATTATTTGTACATAATGTACGACAGTACATAAGCCACACTGAAATGATTCCCTTTTCATGTCTTGGCCAGGTTATAAGTAGTAGTAATCTTACCACCATGAGGACGGACTGGACCCACAGGCATGAAGAAGCAAAACAGCACTTTCCGTCTCAAGTATCCCTGACAGATTCTCTCCTGGATACTGTAGAAAGCCAAGGAGCCGCCACATGGTCAGGAGTTAGAGTCCCAGTGGTGGTGCAGAGAGTTTACTCTCTTCCCTGCAGGTGTCAGCCGGGAGGTACCTCAGCTGCTTCCCTCATCTCAGACCCACCGAAAGTTCGGTAAGTGACAAAACACAGGCATGGGGGTTAAGAGCCTAGAGTTAACGCAGTAAATGCAGGCCTAGGGTTAAGTAGAGAAAGGAGAGGCTCTTTCAGCAACAATTTCTTGGCTGCATTCATCATGTACATCAGTTGTTTTTGTTTGTTTCTTGCATCAAAATTTGGTACCATGGTGTGACAAAGGATTCTGTCTACATCAAAAGTCCTACTAAAATAATGTAATTCATTACATTTATCTGTGTTGTTAGTATTTTGGTAGAATCTTTAGGGTTCTCTATATATAGTCTCATGTCATCTGCAAATAATCACTGTTTTATTTCTTCCTTTCTAATTTGGATGCCTTTTATTTCTTCTTTTGTCTGATTGCTGTGGCTAGAACTTCCAGTACCATGTTGAATAAGATTGGTGAAAATGGAAATTTCTGTCCTGTTTCTAATCATAAAGAAAATGCTTGTAGTTTTTGCCCATTGAGTATAATGTTGGGTGTGGGTTTGTCATATATGACCTTTATCATGTTAATATATGTTCCCTCTGTTCCTACTTTGCTGAAAGTTTTTATCATAAATGGTGCTAGATTTTATCAAATGCTTTTCCTGCATCTGTTAATATGATCATGTAATTTTTATCCTTCATTTGGTTTACGTGCTGTATCATGTTTATTGATTTGCGGATATTATACCAGCCTTGCATCCCCAAAACAAATCCCCCTTGATGATGGTGTGTGATCTGTTTAATGTGTTGCTAGGTCCAGTTTGCTAAGATTTTGTTGAAGATTTATGTATCTATGTTCATTATGGATACTGGCCTGTAATTTCCCTTTTTTGTAGTGTCTTTATCTGGTTATAGCATTACAATAATCCTGGCCTTATAAAATGAGCTTGGGAGGCTTCCCTTCTGTTAAATTTTTAGAAGTTTGAAAAGGAAGGTATTAGTTCTTTTTTGAATGTTTGGTAAAATTCATCTGTGAAGTCATCTAGTCCAGGACTTTTTTTGGGGGGGAGTTTTTGATTACTGCTTCAATTTCACCTGTTATAATCTGTCTATTCAGATTATCTGATTGTTCCTGATTCAGTTTTGGAAAATTGTATGTTTCTAGGAATTTATTCACTGTGTTCAGATTGTCTAATTTGTTGACATATAGTTCTTAGTATGTTTTTTTTTTTTACAATATTTCTTTGGTGCCAGTGGTTATTTCTCTTCTTTTCATTTCTGATTTTATTTATTTGGTTCCACTCTTATTTTTTAATGAGCCTGATTAAATGTTTGTCAACTTTTTTTATCTTTTAAAAGAACCAGCTCTTGGTTTTATTGATTTTTTTCATCTTTATTAGACTCTATTTTCTTTGTTTCTGCTCTGTTTTTTATTTCCCTCATCCTACTTACTTTGGGCTTTGTTTGTTGTTCCTTTTCAGTTTCCTTTAACTGTAAAGTTAGACAGTTTGAGATTTTTCTAGTTTATTGAGATATGCCTGTAGTGCTATGAATTTCCCTCTTAAAACTACTTCCACTGGCCCATAGATTTTAGGATGTTGTGTTCTTATTTAGATTTCTTTCAAGATATCTTTTGGCTTCTTTCTTGATCTCATGGTTAATCCATTCATTGCTTAATAACATGTTATTTATCCTCCATGTCTGTGTGTTTTTCAATTTTGTCTGGTGAATGATTTCTGGTCTCATACCATTATGGGCAGAAAAGATACTTGATATGATTTCAATCTCCATAAATATTACTGAGACTTGTTTTGTGGTCTATCCTAGAAAATGTTCCATGTGCACTTGAAAAGAATGTATATTCTGTTGCTTTGGGGTGAAATGCCCTGAAGATATCAATTTAATCTATCCATTCTAGTGTGTAATTTAAGGCCATCATTTCTTTGTTAATTTTCTGCCTGGAACATCTGTCCATCGATCTAAATGGGGTGTTAAAATTCCCTACTATTTCTGTTGATCTCTCCATTTATGTCCATCAAGATTCGCTTTATATATTTAGGTGCTCTTGTTTAAAAACTTTTTATTTATTTATTTTAGGGGGGAGAGGGAGAGAGAAAGAGAGGGAGAGAACCATCAATGTGCGGTTGCCTCTCACGTGACCTCCACTGGAGACCTGGCCCGCGATCCAGGCATGTGCCCTGACTGGGAATTGAACCAGCGACCCTTTGGTTCGTAGCCCACACTCAATCCACTGAGCCACACCAGCCAGGATTATTTAGATGCTCTTATGTTTAGTGCATTATGTTTAGAAGGGTTATATCATGTTGTTGGACTGTTTCTTTGTTATTATGTGGAACCCTTCTTTGTATCTTACTACAGCCTTTGTTTTAAAGTCTATTTTGTCTAAATATTGCTACTCCAAGTTGTTTTCTTCTTTCCCCTTTCATGAAATATCTCTTTGCATCTCTTTACTTTTAGTCTGTGTGATCTTTTCTTTTGAATTGAGTCTCTTCTTGACAGCATATATATGGGTCATGTTTTCTTATTCATTCATTTACCTTTTCTTTTGATTGGAGCATTTAAGCCATTTGTATTAAAGTGGTTATTGATAGGTACATATTGATAGGTACATATTTAGTGCCATATTATTCTTTTAACTATGTTCCTCTGTGTTTTTTTTTCTTCTTAAAGCAGATCATTTTAACATTTCTTGCAATAGGGGTTTGGTAGTAACAAACTTCCTTAGTCTTTTATCGTTTGGGAAGCTGGGAAGCTCTTTATTTCTTCTTCAATTTTCAGTGATAAGCTTCCTGGGCAAAGCAGTCTTGGCTGCAAGTCTTTGCTTTTCATCACTATTTCATGCCAGTCTCTTCTGGCCTGAAATGTTTCTGTTGAGAAATTACCTGACAGTCTTATGGGAACTACCTTGTGGGTAACTGTCTTTCTCTTGTGACTTTAAGAGTTTTTTTTAATTTTCACATTTTTTATTGTTGTTCACGTACAGTTGTCTCCATTTTCTCCCCACCATGCCCCCCACCCCAGCCATCTCCACCTCCTACCCTTGATCCTAACCCCCTTTAGCTTTGTCCATGGGTCCTTTATATATGTTCCTGACAAACCTTCCCCATTTTCCCATCTATTATCCCCTCCAACCTCCCCTCTGGTTATTGTCATATTGTCCTTAATTTCAGTGTCTCTGGTTATATTTTGCTTGTTTGTTTGTTTTCTTGATTAGGTTCCACTTATAGGTGAGATCGTATGGTATTTGTCTTTCACTGCCTGGCTCATTTTACTTAGCATAATGCTCTCCAGATCCATCCATGCTGTCACAAAGGATGGGAGCTCCTTCTTTCTTTCTGCCTCGAAGTATTCCATTGTGTAAATGTACCATAATTTTTTGATCCATGCATTTACTGATGGGCACCTAGATTACTTCCACCACTTGCCTAATGTAAATTGTGCCGCTATGCACATTGGGGTGCATAGGTTCTTTTGAATTTTTTTTGTCTTTAAACTTTGCCATTTTAATTATGATATGTCTTCATGCAGGCCTCTTTGAGTCCATCTTTTTTAGGACTTTGTACAATTCCTGGACTTGTATTTTTCTTTCCTTCACCAGGTTAGGGAATTTTTCAGTCATTATTTCTTCAAATAGGTTCTCAATCCTTTGCTCTCTCTCTCCTCCTTCTGTTACCCCCCCGCCATGATGTGTATTTTGTTAAGCTTCGATTTGTCCCAAAGGTCCCCTAAACTATTCTAATTTCTAAAATAATTTTTTTTTCTCTGTTTGGGTGTTTTTTTCTATCTTGTCTTCCAAATTGCTGATTTGATCCTCTGCCTAATCTAACCTACTGTTTATTCCTTCCAGTGTCATTTCAGATACTGTATTCTTCATTTCTGATTGGTTCTTTTTTATTGTTTCTTTGTTCTTTTTCATGCAGTTGGACATCATTAGAACCATTACTTTGAACTCTGTATCTTGCCTCCATTTTATTAATTTAGCTCATTCACTAGAGATGTCCCCTGTTCTTTCATTTAGGGCCTTTTTCTTTGTCTCCCCATTTTGGCTTCTTCTTTGTGTTTGTTTCTATGTATTAGATAGATCTTTCATGATTCCCAGTCTCCTGGAGTAGCTATATGCAGTAGGTATCCTATGGGATCCATTGGTGCAGTCACCTTTATCTCCTGAGCTGCGTCCTCCAGCAATGTCCCTTGCATAGGTTATGTGGGCCCTCTTGTTATAATTAAGTCATGATTGCTATTGGCCTGTCTGTGCATGAGATAGGCTCTTAGGCTGGCTGACTTTGAAGCTTAGCCCCAGCCACAGCATGCAAACTGATGTGCAGATGCTGACCACATGAAGCAGAACTCACCTCAGCAGAGTTTGCTACCTGCTGAGATCTTTTTGACATGCTGCCTCTGAAGCTTATTGGATCCTGCACTGATGTATGAAGCCGACACTGGATGTGTTGGTTCTGGGCCTCTTAGGAGGGACTCTGGTGCCGGCCAATGTAAGACACTGCCTGTGATTGGCCCTCCACAACCTTTATGAAGCTACAAATGATCCACAGTTTGTAGCTGCCTCTGCTGGGCCTGGGTACATGCAAGAAGGGCCAAGCTGTACACCAAGACCAGCTTCTACCAGCACCTGGCACAGGGACAGGCCCATGAAATTCCCAAGGCACCCCAATGAGTTCTGCCTCCACTTGCTTCTGCCTGCCAGCTACCCATTAGGTTCAGTCATTGAAAGAGCCTCTGGCTATATTCCTCAGCAGGGTGTAATCACAGGGTGGGGCAAGAGGGAGTCCAGAGGGGTGGGGCTATTGCATTCCCCCAGGCTGATGCCACAGAGAGGGCAGTGTTCCACCTAAAGAAGATGGTGTCTGTGGTGTTAGAGAATGACTTAGCACAGGGATCCTGGCAGGTGTCCCTTCAGCTTTCTCCCCAGAGTCAGTAACTCCAGACTCTCCTCACACAACTCTAGTCTGCTCCTTCTCCCTCTGCTGGAGCCCAAGGTGAGTGGCTGTGAACAAAATTTTGTGCATTGGCCCTTTAAGAGTATGCCTGTG